AAATGTGCATTGTTCCCCTAATAGCTAGAAATAAGAGACTGGGAAATATTCATTTCTCTTCACATTAATTTTAACTCCTCATTAGACATTCATAGACAGCAGCATAAGATAGTTACTAAGGTGGCATTAAGTTCCATAAAAATAGACAGTAGCTACGTCTTTCATAAAAAATGTAAAAATTATTGAAAATTTATGACCTAATAAAATCTGTAGTTGGCCTGCTTTTCAAATGTTCAGTTGCTAAACTGTGATATGAAGTTACAATATAATTGTCGTATGTTTTCATGGACAATGCTACGTATTCCCAAGAACACGGCACCATTTCCGCGGTGTACATTTTCCACGGTCACAATTATTAGTCAATATATCCCATCCAAAAAGTGATTTCGGTAAGAAAAACTGAGCATTTTCAATGATTATTCATTTTTTCTATCCTCTTAAATATGCACAATTAGCCAATTACTATGTTTAAAATGAAAGCCACTGACTTTCTGGACATTAAATATTATCCAGTTCAATTCAGGAAATATTTGTTGTTTATATTTCATACATTTAAATTCATCATCCGATTAATGCAGCACATTTTCTGCTTAATCAAGAACTCTGAAAATAGAGCCCTCATCATATGTAACAAATACTTATTAAATATTTGCAAAAAATAACAGTGACTTGTTTGTGATTATCATAATCAGCTTTCTCTTTAGTCATGATAATCTGACAAATAATTTGTTATTCTTCTGTTTCACAATTTTTAAACTACTACTAATTGGAGAAAATCGTATTCCTTTGTGATTGCAGACATAGTGATCTTCACAAATTGTTTCTTGACCTTTAAGAAACTTTCATCATTGAATTGTGTCAAACGCTTGATTTCAGCTTTTGCAGCTTCCTTTCACTTATGCCTGAAAAAATTACAGCTCACAGAACTCCAAGATTTGAATCGTAGCAGACCAGAAACTGATGACTTTCTCTGGAGAAGCTGGACCTGCACAATGTTGCTGAGTTTCATGCCACAGTATACAGGGGATATTGAGGGCTTGGCATTACCTCTCCTGTGAGGTGCCTTTTACTTCACTTTTTGACAGTGATATTTAATTTATTTTGTACCATGAACGTCTCAGTCAGAAACCATGATGCTCTATGTACACGTCAATTGTATTAAGCATCAATAAGAAAATTAGTAATTGCCAGCATTTACTGAGTTATGTTATGCACACACTGCCTGGATAAACCTCATTTAATAACCGCAACTAATTTATAAGGTATATGTTGTTATTAACTTCTTATTCCAGGTGAAGAAATGGAGGCAGAGAGATGTAATTTGTCTGAAGGTCACTCAACCTGTAAATGTAAGCCAGGCAGCCTGGTTTACAGACAGTGCAGTCCTAACCACCATGCCACCCTGCATTTAGCACCTGCCTTTGTAGTAATTACCCTGCATGGCCGGAACTCCCACTAGATTGTGAGTTCTCTCTGTTCGAAGAATGCAGTTGCCCTTTTCCTCAGTCCACCCAAATTCCTGTAGCAAAGCCTTATTTTTCAAAAAAATTGATGCAAGCAATAATATTTTTAGTTTGCCAAGTAAGTATGTTAGAGAAGAATTTCTTCTGTCCTGTGTTTAGTATTTAAACAAGACCTACTATCGCAGATTGCAACACTTTACTCACTAGAATGTCTGACTACCTCTCACATCTGGTTCATGCATGCTGAATCTGCCTCACCCAGGCTAACAGGAGTGTGCTCTACAAAGCCGAAAAATTTATCTCTGTGCCCACAAATAGTTTTGGAACCTAACTCACACACCCATCCTATTACAGTGTTTGATATGAAAGCTCTATGGCTCACCTGTTTGGTGCAGGCTCGGAACCCAGACAGGCAGGACTCCAAGCCCCCCTCCATCTCCTGCTATTTCTGTCGCTCTGCCAACTTACCAGAACTCGCCAGGCCTCATTTTCCTCATCTGTAAACCGGGTGTGTGCCACAACAATAACATCTGCCTTATGAATTTGATATAAATATTGAATAGAGCAATTAATATAGTGCCTGCACAGAGTTGATTCTTGATAGTTTGTTTTAAAAGTTATCAGAGAAATATTAAAACCAGGTCAACTAAATTACACTTACCAGAACAAGGACACAGAATAAAAGCAATTAAAAACCGATAGTATTTTAATCCTCAATATTTAATTTTTTAATATTTGGTACAATTTTACCAATGTAAATCTGATATGATGGTAGGTTCTTTTTTACATATGCAGTAAAATTGATATACAATATTGTGTGTGTGTATTTATATATATACACACAATCTTATGTGTATATATATCAATTTTACTGCATACATAAAAAAGAACTCAGTTGTACATTATAATTGGACATTTGTACACTATGTGGTGTATGTACAAATGCACCACTCAAGTCTAGTTGCAGTGATGGATTCTGAACATGACTTTTCAATTGGTAAATGTTCACAGTTGCTCCTCTGATCTATAAAGTAGCACCAGCCCCTTCCCCCATGGAAGGTTTTGTGTTCCAAGGTTTCACTTACTTGTGGTCAGTGGTGGTGCAAAAATATTACATGGAAAATTCCAGAAATAAATAATGCATAGGTCTTCAATGCACGCCATTCTGAGTCGTGCAATGAAATCTCACATGCAGAACTGCTCAGTCCCACCTGGGACATAAATGATCCTTTTGTCCATCACGTCCATGCTGTAAACGCTGCCTTGCCATTATTCACTTAGTAGCACTCTTGGTCATGAAGGAGTGACAGAGAGAGACAGAGAGAGAGAGAGAGGGAGAGTGAGGCTACCCTCACATGACTTTTATTACAGCATACTGTTACAACTATTCTATTTTATTATTAGTTATCGATGTTAATATTGTCTGTGCCTAACTTACCACAGGTATGTGTGTGAGGACAAAAACAGTGTACATACTGTTGGTACTAGCCATACTATCCACGGTCTCAGGCATCTACCACTGGTGATTTGGGACCATACCCCCCCCCCCCAGATAAAGAGGGACTTACTCTAAAGGCACTTTTCTTGAGCCAAGTCCAGTCTTCAATTTTTTGTTAAATGTCCAGAGGCAAGAGGCAAGGATAAGAATTTCATTTAGAGAGTGTGGGGCCTTGGAGAAGCTTCGTTGGTGGAAGTCCGCAGTTCTCCCACCTAAATTTCTAATCCTGTAAAGAATACCTCGACTAAATTGAAATTTATGATCTGAATCAGTTCCATAAGTGGCAAATTCACCTAAATGAAAAAAAAAGTGTGGTGTGACCAATTCTGTAAATAATAATCCCTGAAGATTATCCACGCCACCTCCGTGACTTTGAAAGTGACACTATTTTGCAAGTCAGAATGCTGCAAAGAGAAAAACTCGACTTAATATACATGCTTTCATTTTGCTTCCCACTGTTTCTCTGACCTCTCCCAGTGGGAGTAGTAGCAGGAAACTAAAATAAAAGTACTGCTTTTCTGTGTGAAGCACTTTGCTACTAAACATTAATCACGAAATTGTAATAGTTGCAAGATTCCTCTGCCTGTTGCTTCTTCTAAGAAGAGAATTACTATTAGATGAAAGAGCCTACAGCAATAAACACCAGGGGCTAGTGTTTCCTTCTCTGAACCCTACCAGGAGGATCGGAGTCCACACATGCCTTTGAAGTCCCAGAGACCTTCATGTGCTGATCAATCCTTGGGGGGGTAAAAGAGCAAGAAAAACTGGTTCTCGCACTTTAATATTCTGCCAGGGATGCATTAGACCTCATGCAGAACAAAAAGATTTCTTCAGGAACAAATTGAGTGATTTTATACTTAGGTGCCCCTTCTCTCAATTAACTAAGAGGGGCCTTTTGATCCCAGAACATGATTATTTATACTTTAATGCATATTACATTAAGTCAAACTGAGAATGGTACAGTAACAACTGTAAATTCCTATTTCCCTTAGTCTTAGGGCATGCATTGAAATGTGGGTCGATTTAAGTCAAAAAATAACGTGAAGTTCTCATCATACAGATGATCAGTGCTGATTATTAATACGATTTAGTATTAAATATCACATTGCAATATTTCAGAGTTATCAAAACCTTCGGAGCTAAGAATTAAAATGATCTCAAAATCGACAGTACAGTTCAAACCTACTAGTTCTGGATGAGAAAGTAGAGCACCAGAGAACACAAACATCGCATCTGTCGGATGTGGCTGTTTGGTGGCAGAGCAAAGTTTAACATCACAGCTCCTGACACAGGCCCTGGCCAGTGCAGCTCAGCTGGTTGAGTGTTGGCCCATGACCAGAGAAGTCGCCAGTTTGGCTGTTAGTCAGGGCACATGCCTGGGCGGCAGGTTTGGTCCCCATCGGAAGACGTGTGAGGAGCAACCAATTGATGTTTCTCTCTCACATTGATGTTTCTCTCCATCTCTACCTCCCTCCTTTCCACTCTCTCTAAAAAATAAATACGTTATTTATTAGGCTCTCACAAAAGTCTGCCAGAGCCTTCCTCTTCAAGTGGCTATGTTCTTCACTCTCAAATGGTGTAGATGGGGAGAATGTTTATGTCTCATTGTTTTAACAGATCATTAAAACAGGAAATACAGGCACTTTATAAAGTCGAGTAATTTTTATTATTTTTGACACAGAAAAATATTCAATACAACAGAATTATACAGTTCATAGACTTATCATTTATTATACTAGCATAAATAAAGACAAAAAACCCTGTGATAGCATACATAGACAGGATACCAACTTCAATTGATTGTCACGTAGAAAAAAGAGGTAAAAATAATCAACTATAAAGTTAATCGGCAAGATAAAAAGAAATGAATACAAATACCAAAGAACAATAGTTTCAAAATTATTATGGCAACTGGTAACTACAAATAATATATTAATGTGTCCTGGCTGGTGTGACTCAGTGGATTGAGTGCTGGCCTGCAAACTGAAGGGTCACAGGTTTGATTCCCGGTCAGGGCACATGCCTGAGTTGTCCGCCAGGTCCCCCGTAGGGGGTGTGCAAGAGACAACCACACATTACTGTTTCTCTTCCACTCTTTCTCCCTCCCTTCCTCTCTGTCTAAAATAAAATAAAATATTTTAAAAATGTTAATCTATGTTAGATATTCATGATCTTATCTGTGTCCATTATGATTATTTACATAATTTAGGTTGAATAAACTTTTTAAAAAACACAGGTAACTTATTAGTAGATTTAAAAGATATTAAGTTAAAACACAAATGTTTCTCAAATCTATTCTATAAACTCATCCATGATTCACATCCTCTGTCATTGAGCAAAATAGCCTAAAGGAGATAATTGGACTTTTCAACTTCTTCAAACCAATTTCACAGGAGCTTCCTTCCTCTCATTATTTCAGACATTGTTACCGTCTTAATTTACACAGCTCAATTGCAATAAATATATGGAATTGGAGAGCCTCTGCAGTACTCACTCCATTTTGGCATGGCTTCCCTTGTGAATAATGATCTTTAACAACCATCATAACACATTTGAATGGCTTGAGACAGTTTACCTCTTTACATTCTAGGTAACAAACCGAAGTGCAAATGTCAATCATTAAATTTTACTACCTTCCACTTATACACACACAAAAGCGTACACATACACTCACACCCATACAAAAGTTAGACTTCGTATTTACACAGTGCCTTCAACTGAACAGACAGCTATGATGCAAAGAGGTACTTCACACATGCAATTCATCCTTAATACTATAAACAGCCCTCTTTGCATACACGAGTGCATAGGACCGCACACTTAAAGGCCAGTTCCCTATTGATATAATGGCCCTACATTCCTTGAATACTTATGGGGTTCACCTTAAACTCAATCAGAAATTGTGGATGTATTGTGATCTATCTTTTGCTTTTATACCATAAGAAACTATGTTTCAGTAAGTATTAGAAGAACCTAAATTTTGTTTTTTTTTTCATGTCTGCTAGTTTGTCACATTCCCTGATTGACATTAGTGTTAGTCTAATTTTTCTGGGAATTCACCCCTGAGGTATACATGTCCATTTTCTTTGTTGACCTAGCACAGGCTCAGGTGAGCTCTTCATAATGAATGCAATTAGTTTAAGCAAGGCAAATGAAATAATATCTACATGAAATCTCCACGTTAACTATATAAACAGTAAAGGGATACACATCTCCACTCTTGGCTTGAGTTCATTCAAGTGCAAACCGAAGAAAAAGGATTTCCTGTTCTTTTCATATTCCTGAGTATGATGGCATCTGATTCTGTTTCTTCATAGTAATGGTAAGATTGCAAAACCTCTCTCACATCCCTCCTTTATTCCATGTTGAAAGCTTGATTTTTTTTTCAGTTGTTTGCAAAGTATAGTTTGATCCTCTATTTTTTTGGCAAAGAATTTATTTTAAAGCCATTTTTGTTTTCTTCGAAATTAGAGTTTCCTTTAATCAGCTAAGGATCCTGCCCCTTGGAAATCAATTTCTTTTTACAGAAGACAAATCCAGGTTTACTAGGATCCAACACACTGAGTTGGAACATTACGTGTTTTTCACTTACGAGCACATACATTCATTTTACACGATTCCTCAATGTGGCCAGGGGGATTCTTGGTCTGCACTGTATCCACCTATAAAAAATACAAAAATATATGTCTGCTTTACAGGGATGGGAGTAGGATTTTGCTAGCCTCCTTCCAAAGCTTGGATGCAGATCTTGGCTGACAGTACTCTTTCCTTCTTTAAAGATGTGTTTGCAGTGGCCATCATCTCTTTGAGAAGTCATAGAAACCTAATATAATGGTTCTCCCTACAGTATTCAACCAAGGGGCATCTAAATGGTTGCAGCTACTCTTATGGATGCTATCTCTGACAAGGGATGTTTGCATGGTTAAAGAAACATTGAATTAATTGTGTTTCTGGCTTCCGGGCTTTTCAAGGCTGTGAAATGTCAGGATAAGAAGGGTGGGCGTGGGGGAGGGTTGTTGGCATTGTTTATACTGCAAATACAAGTAAAGATGAAATGGTAATTTTGCTGTCACTGATTTTCCAATTTACAAATCTCTAAGATCTGAGGGATGTGAGCTTGACCTGAATGTTCACTCCCTTCAAAGTAGCTGTCTAGTCTCCAAATGCAATCAGTAGATAGCTCCCGTCTCTTTATAGAAATCTGAGCAGCCTGCATGCTATCAACAAATGGCCTGCTCATCTCTGGTCAGGGATGGATTGTTCTTTCCTTCAAAGTCATGGCTGTGAAAGGGCAATGTTTTCCAACTTTTTATCACATTTGCACACATAAAAGTAAGGACACTACTCCTTCAACAAGTTTTGGCACTAATGTCAGTATTAAATAAAGTTAAGTCTGTGTTTCTTGTGACTTGAGCCTGACTAACAGGCTGATTTCTGCTTTCAGTGCCAGAAGGTCGAATATTGTTTTCCAGTTTGATGGTGCAATTAACGTTAGTAAAACTACTAGTAAGTTAAAATATTGCCAACAAGATATTAACTCACTTCCGTAGAATGAAAATGCTGCAATTCACTACCAAAGCAGTTATCTTTAAAAATTAAAATCAGAAAAGAAGGCTATTTCTAATTTCCAGTGTAACAATGGATCATCAGTGCCCAAGAATCAGTGTTAGGAAGAAAATGATTTCTTTCACTGAATAATTGATCAATTCATTTTTAAAGTGACGTAAAATATGTACTGTCTAATTTTAAAGTTGTTTATTATATTCAAGAGAAGATATTAAAATTGCTTTGACCACAGATTATTAATACTAGCTGTACAAATTAAAGCAGCTTTAAAATGTCTTAATTTTCAATTAATTTTATCTTTTCCTGGAAATTAACTTTTTTTTTCTTTCTCTAACAGTTCTAAAATCTAACATAAGTTGGGAAGTTCTGGTGAATTACACAAGCAGCACACACTTACCAAGGTATCTATGATAAGTGAATCTTCTGATTTAAAGTTTATGTTTAAAATGAGCAATGTTTATCTCATTTTATGCAAACTAGATCACTGCATTATTTCATTTCAAAACTGCTTGTATACAGGTGAAAACTAAATATTTGAAAGCTTCAGATGTTGCTTTTTTCCAAAACCAACCACAATGCAGCCATCATGCAGACCAAATCTGCATTAGATGTTTCTGTTATGTGCTCTCATTATAGGCTATATTGTCATAGAATCTATCAAATATTTAACTATTTTGTGAACATATTCATTTAACTCCCACATCCTGTACAAGGCCACAATGTGATCCCTGATGGCAAACACCATGTCCACTGTGTTCACTGCTTCTGTCTCAATCCTGGCACATAGCTGACCCTCAGTGAAAGCTAGTTTAATGAATGAATGCATGTTTAGGAATAGCTAATTAAGAAAATCACATTACTTGTCATATTATAGTATCACTATTATCTAATATCATATTTTGAAATCATTTGGTTATCTCTGATTTCTATTATTTGTCATATAGTAGATTATCTAGACTACATGTTTTTTGAACTGCAATAAATTTCACTAGCATATTATGTTGCTCATTTTTCTAATTGCTTCTTAAATTGAGTCTATCCACTGAAAATCTCACTGACCTTCTCCTTTTAATTCTTGCCATATAACAGCCACTCTCTTCTTTCCTTAAAGAAACAATACTATGTAAAATTGCTGTAAGTTTTTAAATAAATAAACAAGTGAAATAATTTTTAAAAATATAGAAAATCGGAGGTATCAACATGTTTCATTTTCTATTTTCAAGACCCGACACACTTCTAACTTAAAAGCATACCCAAGAAATAAAATGCATTTAAGTAATGAAGTCACCATACTGCCACACAGCATAGTAAATTTATCTTATTAAAATGTTACTGAGGAACAAAACTAACTCTCTCGTTTCATAAATTAACTATGTAAAAGCAGACTTCAAGTTTTTGTGGTTTTAGGCTTCGAGGCACTGAAGAAATAGATTCGTGCACTAATATTCACCTGTCACTAAAGCCAAGACAAATAGATTCTTTCCTCACCATTAAAGATTAATATTTAAAACCAGAAGTGCATTATCAATACTCCATGGAGAACTACTTAGGAATCCCCATTCTGAAAACTGTAGGTGAGGGTCAGGGTAGAAATGGATGTTACCAGGATGTGTTTGTTTTGACTTGAATCAGCTAATTACAGTGGCCCTGGAAGCAATTTCCCCATCACTGCTGCTGAGGAGATAGGCTCTGCGGAATCAGACCCAAGCAATCTTTCGGTCAGATCCAATCCAAAGGAAGCAGTATGGACACAGCCTTTGTTTTCTCCTTTCCACCTTTTCCTGCAATTTGCTCTATCACCCAGGCGACAAGTCACACACACACACACACACACAAGATAAAAGCAAGTCATTTCCTGCAGCACTTCTTACCAGGCCATTCCTGCATCTCACTCAGCTCCTGTAACCTCGCAGAAAGCAAAAATCTTATTTTCTTCAATCTGGACTTTTGCTTTGATTTTTTTCGTTTGACTCAAACTAGCCTCACCAAGCACCCTGACTCACCCACCCGTCTCCCCTTGGCTTAATCATGAAGCCCTCAGGGCAATGAGGCTGTAGTCAGCATCCAGTTGTTCCTTGAGTCTGTCGACCACAGAGACAGCCTTTCTGTTCAACTAGTGATAACATCTAGTTGTGCATCGGTTCCAGAACAACCCCACAGAACACTTCCTCGTGAAAGCTGATGAAGCGAGGCCATGGCTGACATCAGGACCAGATGTACTGATCAACTACCTCCGACCCTGGCACTGGCCAATCAGTGAGGGCCACAGTCCTGGCCATGACCCTAACTCCCTTACTCACCATGCTTAATGAGTTTTCCCAGTGAAACCCATCCCCCTGGAAGCCATCGGGGAGCCAGGTCTTTGGCACGAGCTACCTAGGACTCTGGGGATAGCACCATCTCTTTAAAAAACCCTTACTTTCTTGGCTGCAAACTCCTCTTCAGGTCTTACTGGACTTTGCTGCACTTAGGCAAATGGACCCCTTCAGTCTGGTAACATTTATTTCTTAACCAAAGAGACTGAAATAAGCTGGGATTTAATTAATGAAAACTATCAGTAAAACATTAACTTTAATACTTTAATGAAAGCTATGTTCTTTTCCAGACCTCCCTGGCCAACAATTAGTGACTAGAGCTAGGAAAAAGAAAGCAATGATAGAGAAAACAGAAATAGGATTCAGGTTTAGGCACAGAAATAAATTGTACAACACACTCACACAGAGGAACAGACATGCTCTTAATAATTCTGAAAAAACTTCAAAACCATTAGCGATGAAATATACATATTTTGCAAGGCATATGTGTCTATTTTTCTATTTATTTTTAATAGGCATACTTTAAAACTAAATCATGTACCTATGTAATTGGTGTAGATTAAGTACAAGTATCTGTTGAATGTGTTTGCATATAATTGGCAATATGTAAAAGGTTTCTATGAATATTCATTTTTTTCTTGACTGATGTTCAAATCTAGGGAAAAGTAAAAGGTATCAAAATAAAAGCAGAGTCTATACCATGGCACAGGAAAACATGTTGATGTTAGTTTCCAAAACCTTGGAATAAGAAATTGATGCTTACATTTTAGAGCATAAATACATAACACAGGAGTTGAACTGCAACACAGTCACTTATTTTTATTTTTTTAGAGATTTTATTTATTTATTTTTAGAGAAGGAAGGGAGGGAGATAGAGAGAGAGAGAGAGAGAGAGAGAGAGAGAGAGAGAGAGAGAGAGAGAGAGAGGGAGAGAGACATCAATGTGTGGTTGCTGGGGGCCGTGCCTGCAACCCAGGCATGTGCCCTGACTGGGAATCGAACCTGCGATGCTTTGGTTCGCAGCCCGCGCTCAATCCACTGAGCTATGCCAGCCAGGCACAGTCACTTATTAACACTGAAAGTGTGTCTGTTATTATTTAAATACTAGACAATCAATTGAAAAGGAAATAGAGCACACACATATGGTAAGCGTGGGATTTGGTGAGTGGAGGGCTGCGAGGAGGACAGTTCTGAATGGTGTTTGGTCTTTCACTTCTTTTTGATTTCTATAAATGATGTAGCCCGTAGCACAAATTATCATAATTTTAGTAACATTCACACCCATAAAGAAGTTTATTAGATAAGGTTTCACTTAACTCTCCACTTTAACCTCACAGAGCCCTTGTGAAGTAGAAATTACAATGTTGTTTATGTTGCATATGAAGGAACTGAAGCTCAGAGAGTCTGAACTTCTCACGTAAAGCACACAGATGAGACGAAGCAGAGCCGGAGCGCCACACCAGGACTTCTGGCTCCAAATCTCGTATTTATTCCTTTACACTGCTTTCTCATAATTCCTTTGTTTTAAAGCTGACTTTGAACTTTTGAAAGACAATCAGCTAAATTATGATTGAGAATGCCTTCGTTTTTGCCAAGGCTAATAAATGAACTTACGCAAGTTACCCAAACTATTGTAAATTAAATGTATTTAAGAAGCTCAGTTCTAGAAAGCTATTGCTTAGTGTGTGCAGGATTCTATCGTAAACATTTAAATTCATGAAATCACAGGGAAGCAATTTCAACATACCTCCGAGTTGTCTAAATTGCCAAAGGAAAAAGTA